CCATAGGCATCCCCTCCTCACACGCAGCCCACAGATATGGCCACTTTCAGACCACTGCTGATCTTGGTGTTCTCAGCATTGATGATTTTGTCCTTGAAAACACTGGCTCATTTTGGATTTATACTATATTCCATGCCAGATCAGGATCTGGCTTCAGGTAAGTTTAGAGCTGAATCCCTCTCCACAACCCAGGAAATATTTTATCTTTACTATGAATCCAGGCTTGGAAGGGAACAGATGCATTTAAACACTTGTAGGATAGTTCTACAGTAAATCTGGTTGAAGCACTTCACCTTCCCTACATCTGGCAGCTCCTCCCACTGCTGCTGCACCCACTGCAAAGAAATTCAGCACTGCTCCAGAGAGAATTGACTCAAGGGTGACTTCAACATGCCTGAGATCACCGTGTTTGTAGATAATCTAAGAGGCAAACCCACGTGTCTTCAAGGCCAAAGACTGTCATAAGAGATAAACCAACTCCCTAGAGGAAATCTGGGATGGCCTTGGCCTTTAGAGCCAACAGATTCCACTCCTCAGTGAGAACAAAGTCCTGGCTGTAAATTAGCACCTTCCCCAACATTTCCAGCACAAGGTTACAGCTGGTCACTAATGCATCTGTGCCTGCCCTCCATGTTCTACACAGCTATCTATTTAGGCTGCTCTGCATAATTTAAGAATTAAAACTAAACACTATGTTACCTACAGCCACATCATCTTAGATGAGCTTAAACAACTGTGAAATTCCTGTGATCTATTAAAAGCAACATTCAGTGCATGCATTAATCAACAGATGCTCAGTAGCTGTGCATCAGAAAACCACAAGTGAGAACAGCCTCCTGCTGAAATTATTACTTTCCTTGTGGCCAAGTCCTTGAAACCCCAAGTGCACCGTGATGCTGGAGCGGTGCTTGCCTTGGTTACCTCAGTGGCACTAACTCGGACTGGCCCCTTCTCACTGGAAACAACAGGTCAAACAAGCAGTGGTATTTCCTGTTGATGAGTCAGAGATGAGACATGAAAATCACCATCTCTTGGCACAGGACACTTGAGACGTTATAATTTGGTATCACCTGTGATTATTTCAGCCAGTGTGCTGTGCTGAGCGTGTGTGTGCAGCGCTGCAGCTCGGTGGGAAGGAGACAGTTCCGAGTAGTCACCGACTGCTACGTGCTGCTTGCTGCAATTTCCTGTTCTCACACAGGAGCCTGACCCAGCAGCCCTTGTTGCCGCCAACTGCTCTGATGCTCCCCCCTCTGATGCTCCCTTGTTCTCCATCTGCCTTTTTCCCTTTTCCTGTTGTTTTTTTTCCCTTCAGATCCAGGCCTTTGTGAGGTTCAATCCTGGGTTTGTGTTTATGTTGCCAGGCCTCTGCTTTCCTGGCTAAATCTTCCTCCCTTCCACATCCCTTCCTGAATCCTTCCCATGGCTCCCAAACCCCCTCTGTGGTTTCCTTTTGGCCATGGCTAGCAGGCACAGAGAGGACGAGGTCAGTCACCTCCTGAAGACTTACATCTGCACTCATCCCTTTTCTGCACCAGTCCCTCATGATTAAAAGCACATGACAGCTAAAAGGCCAGTAAAACAAAACAAGTGTGGAGCTTTCTGATCACACCAGTTGAAAGATTCAAGGAACAAAAACAACCCAAAAAATGAGGCTGAGGCCAAGGCCAAAACCAAAAAAACCCCCAACAAAACAAAAGCAAAGAAATAGCAAAGAAAAAGCAAACCAGTACAATTTCTGGCCTTCTTTCTTAGGCCAGATGACCTACTCATTATGCCAAACACAACTCACATGACTAGGAAAGAGAGTTTTAAGATTTTCCTTGTTGTGCACCAGCCTGGTACAGAACTGAGCATTGCTCTGGTGACAAGGGCAGGAGCCCTTGGCCACTGCTGAAGATCACACAGGACTGCAGGCATGCCCTTTTCCCTGACCAGCTGACTTTTCCACCACTGTCTGACAGGACTTGAACCACCAGGAATGGACACAGCTACTCCTGCCTCAGATCAGTGTGGGCACAGCTGTAAGGGAAGAGGAACAGGTGCCCGCCATGGCACCAGCTATGAAGTGCAAATAAAGGGCTTCCAGCTGCACAAGAGAAAGGGTTCTTCACCTTGAGAGCAGTGCAGCACGAGGACAGGTCTCCCAGAGCAGCTCCATCCACGCTCCATCCATAGAGACATTCCATTCCTTAGACATTCTCAAAATTTCTCTGGAGACAAGACCCTGAGCAAACTCCTCTGACCTTGAAGCTGGACCTGCTGTAAACAGAGGATGGGCTGGAGCTCTCCAGAGGTGCTTTCAATGGCATTTTTCTCTGATTTTTAGGAGGACAGGATGCTGACCTGCCAAAGAGGACTGGGCTGCATAGCTGGGGAGATTCTTGCTGTCCTGTGACCCAGAGCATGAGGTGTACTGCATGGAGGAGAGGGGAACATGGTCCCCACTGTCCTTCTCTGCCACAATCCCACTGACTCTCAGTCCCTTTCAACAGAACTTCTGGCTTTTTCACTGTGTTTCCCAGAAAAGCAAATAAAAACCCCGAAAGTTATTATGAGCTAAGACCATGCAAGTTTGCAGAAGACTAATTTCTTCTTAGAGTCATTCTCAAGGGGAACACTGATGATTCACCTTTTAGTGACCAGCTACTTCCAGCCTTCCTTGGCAAACTGTGAGTTTTAGTTTTCACAGAAAAAAGGAAGACAGTATTCACAAGGAAATTTCCTGTGTTTCATCAGCTTAAGTGCATCTCATTCTGGATCAAGCTTCATTATTTATGGATGAAGTGTTGTTCAAAATCTCTACTCCAGTATATAATGAAAACTGAGATCAAAAAGCAGAAGTGCCTGGGTTCCTGATGTGCTGGTGGCCTGCAGTCCCGCTGTTTCCAAGTGGGGGAAGATGTGCACATCACTCTGGAGATCAGCTTGCACCACTTTCCAAAGCACCAGTCTCCTTTTTCAGTGGCACCTGTGAGCTCTGAGTCACCCCATGGGCTGTGCCTCTGCTGAAGCCATGCACTCTGTCCCCAGTGCTACTGGGATGCAGAGAACGAGTTAAAGCAGATGGGATTAGCAAACTGCAGATCATCGGAAATTAGCCAGTGTGGAAAAAAACCCTTGGTCAGAACTGTGGTAAGACTATCTAAGTAGGTCACAACAAAACTACATCAGACGAGCAAAGGAGGTGTAGGTTCAGTCTGTCAACATGAAACCAGACATTCTCCCGCTCTGCCCTGCCAGTAACCCGGAGAAAAACAGCTACTGTCCCACTCACTGGTTTTTAAAATTCAGGTGGCTTTCACTTTTAAGTAAATGACTGTCAATGTCATAAACCTAAAATTTCATTTGCTTAAGTTCACAGGTGATATTTCAGAGGGCCTTTAAAACAATCTGAGGTACTCAATGAGTGTGTTTGTACAGCTCCCCTTTTAATTCCTGAGCTAGTCAGACCAGAAATCAAAGAAATGCATGTGATGCTGTTATACACTGTCCCATGTCCCTGTCAGCCCAGCAACTTGAACTTGCACTGGATGGATGAATGGATGATGGATGGATGGATGGATGGATGGATGGATGGATGGATGGATGGATGGATGGATGGATATCCTCAACTGACTTTATAAGAAAATAATTAGCATTATTTTCCAGGATGCCCAGGAGACTCTAGAGACCCAACCCCAGCAGCAGTCTGGACCAGGAGGGCATTTGAACTTAGACCAGATAAAGCTGGTCTAAATTTTATTTTAATTTGCTGATTAAAATCTCTAATTAATTATTTGCTGCTATTTTAATTCAAGCGCATTTCTATGCTGTTTTTGAGGCAGTGGCCTTCTGATTCAGCTCAGTGGGACGTGTCTGAGGCTCTGTTGTTGCTGTAGGGCCAGGCTGTGGCTGAAGGTGGGAGCTGTGACCAGCTGTGCCCTGCACAGGTCAGCTCAGCCAGGGCAAGGGCTCCGGCAGGTGAACGTGTCTGGGTGGAAATTCAGGATCCACTTCTGCCCTGGGCACCGCAGAGCAGGCCTGGTGTGACACCTGGCAGGCACCTCACCCTGCAGTCACAGCGGCCTGGGGGCCAGCCTGTGCCACCGTGACCGCA